TTGAAATGTCATGAATCTGATGGCACCATGTTCAGAATTTTTTAGACATGCTGTGCATCTTAGAAGAGCGCGGTTGGGGGTCCAGTTCTCTTCAGAGAAATATTTCAGGGCATCTGTATGGAGTTTGGCCAACACCCAAGCATAGGCTGTAAGTTGTAATTCACCATGTTCATTTTAACTGCATTACAAAGGATAACCTAATAAAATAATCTGAGGGGGACTTGGTGCTGGGGTGGAGGTTGGGGGGGCTGGATTATATATATATATATATATATATATATATATATATATATATAGTGGTTTTTTCAGAGATATTTCAAAGTGTGAAAGTGCCCTGATCTGGTTAAAGTGTCTCCCTTCAATGAGGAGACTGTTTAGAGGTACGCTCTTTTGCCAGTCATGCTGATCATTCTGCTGAAACCCAAACGCTGCTGTGTGAGCTTCATTCACGTTTAATAACAGCTTGTTTAAGAACATCTGTTGCACTTTTCTGGAGGTCTGTCTTCATCCACCCGGAGTGCGACCTTAAGATTGAGAGCTGCAGAAGGCCTGAGATCACACTCCCGAGATATGGCTCGCAGATGTGAGCGCTTGCCTGAGCCCAGCTCCCACAGTCATGACCAGGGGCCTCATTTAGAAAGCATGCGTAGGAACACAAAAGATGCGTACGCCATTTTCCTTGCAGATTTTGGATATATAAAAACAAATTTGGCATTAAGAAAACATGCAGAATTAAGATGATTTTGCACCTAGGCAAAATTTCAAGTTGATCCTGATTAAAAAGTCAAAATTTCATGCAATCTAGCTTGCCCACAGTGTAACGAAATAGTGTATTTTCTATCATTGGACACTTTTCTTTTTTTGTGCCTGTGCAAGACTTCTGCATAAAATCTGTATAATTTTTTTCATAAATAAGAACCTCATATGTTTAAAGCATGCTGGAAATTCTCTTTTTTGACTGGTATATTGTAGTTGTTCACACACAAGACTTTTTTTTTTCTCTGACAGGTTTGCAGTTGTGTTGAGCTCAGCTTTGTGTCGACTGGCTTTGACCTCTCTGGGGCCCCTGGATGAAAGGGGGGTCGTGACCCCCACTGCCCCTGTACGCTTCCTACGGAGGTATTTCAGAGCCAAAAAGAATGAGATCTGACGTCGCAGATTCCCATAGAGATAAATGGCTTTAGAGGGAGTGAGTGTGGGCCGCAGGGTAATGCACAAATGGCTCTGGCTTTCTTCACAAATGTAAGAGAAAAGTCCCTGCGATAAAGACCTAATCCCTGCCAGCAGCACCCACAAGACATGCTGCAGAGATGGAGGAGGTTAGCAGCGAAGGTAAGGAGGGTGTGATGTCAGGGAGGGCAGGAGAGGAGGAGAGGAACGTGGGTTTGTGTTTAAGTTTTACCTCGCCCCAGCGTCCTGTTCTCCACTTGGGGCAGCGTCTCCCTCGGCAGCGCCTCTTTCTGCTGGGACGGGACAGGTGCTGACAGCTCTCTTCATTCACAGAAGTGCCAGTCCTGGTCTCACACGTTACGTTACGGTACTTGTATCCTTTGCCACACGAGGCTGAACACTGCAAGAAAAGGGATGGACTGTTCCATTAGGGTCATCCTGAACTACAAAAATCAGCTTATCAGAACTCACTAAATCATGTTAGAAATTTAAGAGCCTAGTGCTAAAAGTACTTAAGTCGCGTTTTCACACACAGTGAGGTAAGGGTGGGAAACTGTCTTTTATACTCATCCAAGTCAATTTTCTCAGTTTTCTCAAAATGGAAATTTTGTGACTTAAGTACTTTTAGCACTGGGGTCTGCAATTTATCCCATCATTTTACACGCTTGAAGTGGTGTAGCAAGGACCAAGTACTCCACAGTTTTGTTGGAAATGTTGTGATATCTTACACAGCAAGATCAAGAAACATAACGAAATAGGTAACTTATAATACATGTAAATCATTTTCCTGCTTGAGAAAAGCATGGTAATTTATGAATACATTGAACCAGAAATCCTCGCTCCACTGCCTGAAAAAATAAAAACCCTGTTGCAAAACCTTTTGCTGTAGATTAATACTCTAAGGTGCAAATATGACCCGGTGAAGGAACGCTGACAGAAACTGTACCACTGAGAACAAAACCAGACCTTGCACTTCCCCCTTTTCTGACAGCTACTGTATAACACATAAGGGGAGGGAGCAAGATAAATAACAATTATGGAACAAGCTATGGGAATATGCAGAAATCTGATACCAAAAACTGACAACCTCATGAATCAGAAACTAATCAGTATACAAGAGTTTGCATGCATAATGAGGTTCGTAAGATCTCAATCAACTGAAAATACACTGTTATAAACTGGCACCATTTTTGTCAGTTATTTTAACTGGCGCCTTTTTTTGCCAGTTATTTTTTACTGTAATTTTACAATCAGTTTATAACAGAGGTTCTGTGTATGTAAACTGTTAACCACAGTTAAATGCGCACAGGAATCTGCTTACAATGAAAAA